ACGACGTCACTGTATATTCATGTACACACAGCACACACGCACATTAATATATAATATACCTATGTATAATAAAAAATAATATTACTAATATTACTGATGATGTAATTACGAAGGTGGATGCCCATATCGGATTTAACAATGTATGCACATGGATGGTTGTTTCTTATCGTGGGGGAATATAATATAATATATACGTAAGAACTTAAGAGAAAAAAATAAAAAATTAAACCTTTAAAATAATAATAACGTCCATTTGCATTTGGAAATTAAAAATTATACATAATTATTTGGTTACGGTTCGGAATAATATTATGTAGGTATGTATAATAATATAATATATTATGTATTATTATAATGGTGAAGACCCAGTTAATATGCTCATCAATATATATTATAATATTGTATAGCGACGATCGATTTGGAACGAGAAATGAGAATATATATTATATATTATTAGAAAATGTAGTTTATAATATAGGTAGTATGTAAGTACGAGTATAACCATTATTATTGCAGCTACTGCCGCCGCTACTGCCGTTTTGGGACGACCACTATTTGAACTAATTACAATAATCGCTTATGACTTTTCTACTTGACGTATATATTATTATTATTAAGGAGCATGTTGTACTTATTATTATAATCGATTTCCATACAGACAATGGACACTCAGCATCAGTAAGTACTGCTTGTACGCGCCTATAAATATTATAAGACTGTATTTATTGACGGCAATCATTAGGTATTATACACTATTATCATAATATGTCACTAAATGCTTTGACTCCGAATATGGTTATACGTTTGTACGACTGTACGTACTTAACCAACTACCTATAAATTAATAGGTGTGTCAAACTAACAAGTTGAAAATAAAATATTACCTTTGTAAATACAATACATATAATAATAAACAGTTCAAAGTTATGACGAATTTATCGATTAATTAAGAATAAAATTTATTATATTGATTTATTTTGCATTAGTGAATTACTATAATATTTTGTATTCCAATCAATTAGATTTCTAGTTATATTTAATAAAATAAGAAAATGTAGGAATAAAAATATCTAACCATTTTAATATAAATTATAAAATTGATTAGTAATAAAAGAATACCCTTATATTTTACCCATACATTAGAATTTTAAAACATTTTACATTAATTAAATACTATAGTTATTAAATTATCTACTTGAAAAAGTCACATTTTCTAAAACACAATAAGACATTATAGGTATACAAAGTATGTATAGTAGTTAGAAAATATAATAATCACATACGTATTATTTGCTAACGGAATAAGTGTACAAATAAATGACCACAGAGTGTTTTTTTGTTATCATAAAACAATAAAGTTTGTACATGATATGAAGTATGTACAGCTAATTACACGCTTAATAAATATTGTTATCAGTTATCACTTATCAGCATTCATATTCAGAGTTAATAGTCATCCAATGCATATTATCAATAGTCTCAATAAATTTTACCGACCACCGTGTAGCTCACAATTTATTATTATTATCATTATTATTATTGTTATAACCAAAGAACGATTGCAACTGAATATTGATTATTATTACTATTTGTAATGGTTATGTAGGTATAAGTGTAAAATATAAACTTGAATATTAGTTTCAGCGTGTTGTACATTGTTGTGGTTTAAAAGCAATAAAATTTTACACTATAGTTCATAAAAAAATCTGATAAATATTAGTCATTGTTTAACTATATATCTAACTACCATTTCACATTCAAACCAAACATAAAATATATCTCTCTTCTTAGAAATAATTACAATGTGTTAATATTTTTATCATTATTTTTAACATAGTATAAAACTAAATATTAATATATATGGAAACACACATATTATATATTTATACATTATTTATACGTGAAAACGTACAAATGGTAAATTATTACTTATTAGGTATAATAAACTATTTAAGGTGAGTATCTTTTTCCAAGGTAAATTCAATACTTAAAAATGTTTTATCTATAGAACGTAATACCCTAAGTGTCAATTCATTATTATTATCACATTTAAATGAGATTATAATACAAATTTCAATCGTTATATACCATTATTATATTAAACTTTTCAGGTTCGATCATCTCAAGTCGCAGGGGTCTCCAACCGAATACACCCTGCATAATTCTATCTTATTACATTGAAGAAGTTAGGTAACACTTATTCAAAAACGAATACCAAAGTTATTAACTCTAATGGACTTACGATTAAAATAATGAAAATTTTTAAGTTATATTGTTTCCATATAAATATAACGATGCTACGTAGCAGGTGTTTCGTAGATAAGGCTACAAAAATAATGATATTATTTTTAAATAAAAAATTACCATTTTGCATATATCTATGTATAGTTGAAATACATATACATTTTGTTTAGAAAATAACACAACAGGTGAATAGTGTAAATTAATTTATTGTATTTGTGCTAATTACCCATTAACAATTGCCGTTTATTATTACACACCTATGAGATTGTTGCCGGCATTGTGTAGCGACACACATATTTTTTTAAATGAAAATCATTGTACGTATTATAATTTTTTTCTTCGGAATATTGCTTTCCCTATCATAAAACTAACATATTACTATTAATATTATAATGAACTGAAAATTAATATTTACATATGTATAGTTTACCAAATTGCAAAACATCATTAGACGGCATTTGTCGTTATTAGAGAATTCGGGTTTTTTCCCCATCGCACAGTGATCGGAATAATAAATTAACGAGTGTGCACGTTTATATTCGGTAATTATGATTTTTTTAATAATTATTGTTACGGACACACCAATGCTCTCGCGTGTTTGCTATATTAAAATGTTTACATTATGGGTAGGTTCAAGCCGTGTAGTACCTATAGTTTAGGACACCATATGGTAAACTATTGTCAACCTTCGATAATTCAATAGGTACGAACGAGAAATAAGTGTAAAAAAATCTATAACCCGTTACAAAGTCCCACAATTCAATATTAAACCATATAAAACCCACTGGTGTAATAAAATGTATTAACTGTTATACTTATACGTAGGTATATAAATTACTTTTGAAAAGTATATTCGAAGATGATAATATTATATAAGTACTAAGGCAAAACGTATCATTGGTATACTCCGCACCACGTAACCACGTAGGGATTAGAATATTTTGGTTACCTATCTAATATTATACTAGTTTAAATAATTTAAATGTTTTAATCGTAATAGGGTTTTAAATTATTAAAAAAAATGAAATAAACATAGAGACGAATTTTCAATTATTAAAAACATTTTAAAATATGCTACATTAAATATTTTCAATTTTATACAAATAAATTACTATAACTAATTTATTACTCTTCAATAAATATTACTATTAATTAATTGTGTGTTCTGTCGTAATTAATTAAAAAAAAAAAAATATGATCTACTATCGATAGTCATTAATAATATTTACTATGTGTACACTATACAGTATATAATTATCACTCATTAAGTATAGTATAGATATATCTGCATGTTTAGCTTAATTCGATTGTATTTTATAGTGTTTAACTATAGTGAAATATTTGGCTACAAAGATTAAATTGTTGACGTGATAATAAATATTGCAGGTATACTTAATTCTTGTCTACATCGTAAAATTTGCAATTAATTCTGAATTAGGTAATGTGGTAAGAGTATTTGATTTTTATATACGGGTATACGCCCTCTAATATAAAGTGAACAGATTAAAATATGTATTTCACAATAAACATTTTTAGCTCCGACTTCTGACCTGAGTTTGAAATAAAACCGTAAATTTTAAAGGCATTGTTATAATGGTAAAAAGAAGATCGAACGTAGGATGAAAAAAAAGGCAATAACACGGCCGCTCGATTATTATTACAGACTTGTCAGAAATTGGTATTGTGTTGAATATTTTATATTAGGTTGGCTACGCACAAACCTTATTCAGAGACCAAGTCCATTATTATTAAATGAAATAATAAAAATATAACCGATACTTTTTTATAGCCAAATAAAACAAAAACCGAAAAATATATATAATACATACAAGAGACGTGTTTTATTTGGAACAGACGTGGAAGCAACATATAACCGGGCGGCAGTAAATCTATACGTTTTGGTCGATTTTTTTAATATCTGATTTTAAACGTCACGTTTACGATTTCGGCAGGACTCTAGAAAATTCGCTTTACAAAGAATCAAGGGATATAAAATATGCACAAGATTGTAGATTTGAATTTATACAGTTTGTTTCTGCACGTGAAGTGTGCACATCCATTTTTATACAAGGCCGGCCAAGAATTGAATATTATAATGTTAAAGTTATAACATAATATATAATATTATGTTGTTCGTATCACCATAGACACCCCATAATAATATTATGTAAACAGTGTAATATTCTTAATAGGATATTAAAAAAAAAAAATGCTTTATATTTAATTATAAAACCATATTTTTAATAATAATATAATATCCATCATGCAATTAAAGGCCGTATACAAATTATATACGGAGTAAGTAATACTCCGGTTATGTAAATGCAAATTAAATAAAATATTAAAATTTTCATTTGTTAATGGTTAAGAATGTCGAAGTTTTATAGCTATATTTTACATGCTATAAATCATTACTCGCTCGTGTTTAGATCATTTGGAAATATATTTTAATTTTAATAATACATATCGGTTTTTATGGAAACTACGTGGTGTAGTACTCTCGCATACTACAGTGGACTATAGGTACCTTTTGTATTTTTATTTTTTCATTAAAGAACATTATACGAATGGAATTTTTATTTATATTTTTTGCGATAATATTATAGACTAGACTTATAGCATCGTAAAAACATCCATTATATTCCATTTAAGTTATTATGATTATTCATAACATTGTACGCAAACAAGTAGTGATATTATACCGATGCCAATTCAGAAACAAAATAATAATTATAAAAACTTGTAATTTCACATACCTTGTTCCTGCATGTAACTGAACAGTGAATCCAGGAAACTGCGTCTATCAGCTTCGTTGCCCGCAGTATAAAGCTAAAAAATATAAAAGTATAGATCAATATTGTGAATATAGCTTTACATTTTTAACATACATAAACTTTTTAAGGGTATGTACAAAAAATATAGGCTGTGAAATTATTTTCGTATTTTTGAGATTGATACCTTTTGGATTTTATTAGTTTTGTATAATTTATCAATTAAATGTAAAAATAAAAAAATAAGGTGAATGCACTAGTATTGCAAAAACCTGTGACACGCTTATACTAATGAGTAAAGAATAAGTTTTTGAAAGTATATCAAAATTGAGATTTGGTACCTACATCATATTATCATAAAATAATATAGTACCTATATAATATTAAACTCAGTTTTTAAAATGTTTATAGAGATCATGACGTGTGTTATGCAAATTGAAGCGTAACGAAATTTCGTGACACAATTTTTAAAACACCATCAAACCTTATTATATTCATTTTTTTTTTTAGTCATTTAGTGTTTTAGGCTATATGTGTCTGTGTTTACATAATATTATAAACATTTTTGTAGTATATACATACATAATATCATTAATCAAACATAAGTATATAAAAATTATATCTGATAAAATTATTTATAACTATATATTACTGAGTGATTAAGTATATGCTTCATAGTTTGTTAATAATAGCATATATTTGTAAACAAACATTTTAAGCACTGTTTTTACCAAGAATCACTAGGACATTTATTAAATATACTGCACGTATAGGTAAAAAGTATGTCTTATTTGTTTAGCAAACAAATATTATTAAAAATGCTATAATAAATATGTGAGTTTTTTTTTTTCATTACCTGGGTGACACCTTAATAACACGCTTACTTGGAACTTGGACAATATTGTTCCCACGGCAATTAAACGCTTAAGTATTCATCCGCGTGTAAATACCAATGAAGTGTACATAGTTTCTATTTTTCTATACAGATAAAATATATGATGGAATTTGTTTTCGGTCCGTATTAAAACACTCCACTCTACATACATTATTATACATATATCTCCGTAAACGAATCGCGCTAAACGAAATTAATGGTTTCCGTGTCATTGTTAAATTAATAATTATAATAATAATAAAAAAATTTTATTATAAGTAAAAAAAAAAAGAAATACGAGACGTAGGATTTTTTCACTGCGTACCCGAACACGGTCCGATCGGTGATCCTGCGGAGTTCAAGGGGTCTAATGCGCGTCTAATTAATTGGCTTTTCATGGCGTGGTAGTAAAAATAATATTAATTACCGGCCGTTTATCGTATCTGCAGCTATTCGCCTCTTCTATTGTTATTATTTATATTGTGATTATTGTTTAATGGCAGTGATCCCACTGTGATCGAGACTTAATCTCCCGGGCATTACATATTCGGGTAGACGACGGTGCGCTGTATGGTATAGGTAGGAAGGATGGGCTGTGGTGGTAATTCACCACGAATGATTGGAGGGTGTGGGGGGCACTCGAGCATTGTTTATTGGTATATTGTTTATAGTATATACATACATACACGTTTATTATTATTATTATTATTATTTAATTTAGTTACTCGATTTTACTATCACAATGTGTGTGTATATATATAAATATTAAATAATATATATACAATATATACATATTATAATATAGCCTATCGTAACCTATTAGCTTGCGCGATGTTTGATTCCTGTATAGATGCGATTCTCGGCCCACGCGCACACGACCGCCGCGCAGTCACGAACCACAGCAGCAGCAATCGGATGTAATTCGATAATATTATTATACGGCGGAATTATATAGGCGTTCGAATAATAATAATAGTTTTATAATCCTGCTGCAATAAACACGGTCATTCATCATTTACCCGAGTGCCCGAAACCCTGGCCCGTGGCTGTTCTTTAACATTCATAGAATACCGATTTATATACACGATAGATATATTGTATACATATCTACACAGCAAGAAAAGTATTACAATAATATCAAGCAAATTATATTTATAATATTTCAGTGCTATTGTCATAGTATGGATAAAACATATTTATTTTGTTAAACACTCGAAATGCGCGCTCCTAAATATATCGATTAATGCACAAGTATCATGAGGATTAAAAATTAATTAAAACCACGGTACCTATACTTAGGGCTATTTATATGCACATATTTAGTTGGGGCGCAAAAAAAAGATACGTCGATGAATGTAAAAAAATACATCATCATGAGATGAAATAAATGTGTAAACGGCACGTAATCACCGACATAGCGAGAAAAAAATATTGTTACGCCCACTGTGTATTTTTTAAATCAATTCAGACCGCAAAGTATTGAGATTTCAAATGGATTCTACTTTGTATAAAATAATAAATATATTTTACAATATAGGTGTTAAAAATTGAATAATCAAGGACGTGAGCCGCGAGGTAATGTAATAAAATACTTCAAATTTGACATAAATAAACTCATAATATTTTGTTGTTTGCTTTATCAATAAAATTTTGACGAATTAATTAACAATCTTAATAAATCTAATGACTAAAATAAAATATTTTATTGATGACAAAAGGCCTTAAAACACATATACTCATGATGATAGTTATTTATTATACCTGAAATATCTGTTTGTTTTATTTTTGCTAAATGTTTTAATAAAAAGAGAAATAATTATGTGTAATTTTTATTTAAAAAACTAGAAAATTATTGTTTATAATTCTCTTAAACAATTTAAAACAACAAAATTTTGTAACTTTAATACTCTATGTGTGTAATTAGTATTGTGTTGTCTCGTTGTTTACAAACTAGAAACGATCGATAAGTCTATTGCGATAAAATAAATATAGTATATTAATATATATTAATAATCTTTTTGATTTGTTTAAATCGATATAGTATTATTACATGTCTGTATCGTAAAAATTTGAAAGATTATCTTATCATTTATCGTTTTGTTGGAGATTGTGAGAATGAATTTAATGAAAGTTTCAGCCGCTCCCCCCCTTAAAAATATATATATAGGTTTTATCAATACATCGTATTGGTGTCAACATTTGGTTAACCATACACATATGCGAGCTCAATTTTTGTATTCATTGGGTTGCACAAACACCCGGTGGACAGGGTCTTAAGAGATGATGGTCTCGTGAACACGAATAAAAGAACTCGTCGCATAGGTGTAGATTAGTTCACGTATAACATGTTTTGGGCCCCTCGCTGAGCCTTATTTCGATAATCATTGAACGTATTTAAAAAAATTATTATTATATAAAAATAACAACAATACGTCACAGGAGGGAAAACGACGAAAAACGTCTCATTAGCGAGGATTTCAACATTATTATCATATTTCATCCTTTGTTGTTTCTATTATATTATATAGTAATAAAGATACGCATGAACTGTCTGTTTTCTATAATTTTGGTTTTACTGTCAAAAACCGTTCTACCATCAATAAAGAAGTGTGTCACATGAGCCAGTAATACATTTTAATTCCAATAGATGCGCTGTTCCAATCGTATACAATATACATATGTTAAAATTTTCTAAATAAACGATTTTGGACTTTTAACTTAGATTTAGATAGATAAATTTAAGTTCCAAAAAAGCATTATATACATTATATCGGTACCTACATTTAATGTACCTACATAGTAACTTGTAATACTAAATAGATTTATCATTTTTATAAGTTAATATAAAATACACTGAATAATATGCAGAAAAAAAATAATAATTTTAAAAAGTAAACAATATAGTTTTATTGTTAAAAATTAATAAGCAAACAATATAATCATTCGATTCATTAATATTTAATCACCGAGAAGTATGTAAATAACTACAATTATTAATTATCCTGTACGTTTATACGTACCTACAGTAATCAATAATCATGTATGATAATGATATTTAAAATCAAATTATCAGATCTATCTATATTTCTGTATCACATTTGAAATTATATACTTAGGTAAAGTGTTTATGTTAGATTAAACTGTAAAAAATGAACCATTATAAATTATATAGGTATTGATTTAAATTCAAATGTCCGTCTCATTTATACAATTATAATTAAAATATAGTAAAATTAATTTATTTTATGCTAAATTTATATCATGGTACGTAAATATGTACGAAACAATTAAGTAAACTGTTAGCAACTGTTGCTAAATTAATTCTTTTATGATATACGTGAACTGTAAACACTAGGGTTTACTACGATGTCACCGGTCAAAATTTCCCACAGAAAACAATTATAAACAACTTAATGCACACGCATACCCTTTAAAACTGAGACAGTATTGGGGTGGAAGAAAAATCGTTTGACCACCCTATATGATTCGACGATCAATTAAACTTGGTGTATAATATACTGTTGTAATAGCTGTTAACCACAGTAATTTATTTGTTTCAAAAATTGTATATTGCCATAATATATCGCTGTTTAGATAATAATTTAGTACATAACTCAAATTATATCTACTCTATAAAAATGTATGAAAGAATCCAAATAATAACCAAAAAATTTAATTTAAGATGATATAAAATAAAAAATACAAATATATTTTTTTTCAATATTTAAATTCAATTCACGACTCAATTAAAATTGAATGCATACCGATATAATAGTCGGGAACTAATATTGGTAACTATAAAAAAATTTAAATAAAAATATCTCTCTAATACATATAATATATGTATATATATATATATATATTATCATATATAAACTATAAAATAAAATACGATCATATAAAAATTAATTTACCTAGACTAATGTATGAAGTATTTATGTGTTATGACTATAATGATCATCATCGCATTCGTCGTACAAAACAATTTACAGTTTAATTATTTTTATCAATGCTAACCACCATATATCCGGTATGTCTTTTGTACGAGTAATAACCTCCATGTAGGATATCAGTACTAAAAATTAAATTTTCTAATTCTATCTTTTTGCAAAATATAGCCTATAATATATATATATATATATATATATATATATAATAATATATACTATAATATTACATTATAA